TATCAATCAATCATCTAATCTATCTATCTATCTATCTATCTATCTATCTATCTATCTATCTATCTATCCATCCATCCATCCATCCATCCATCCATCTATCTTTCAACCTCCCATTTCTCTCCCTAATAGCTGTCAGCCATTAAAAACAAAACAAGGCAATGTACAGGTAACAGGTGGGCCTACACCTCACAGCCATAATTCTTGATGGTAAAGTGGATTGGTCTCAGATGACTGACTTGATTTTCTGACTCTTTTTTTGCAGCAGATATTAAAGGAATTGCAAGCCAGGAGACAAGAAAGAAATATGGGTAGTTCTTGATTTATGACCACAATCAAAGCAAAAATATTGGTTGCTGAGACAGTTGTTAAGTGAGTTTTGTTAAGTGAGTTTTACAAGCTTTCTTGCCACAGTTGTTGAGTGAATCACTGTGGTGGTTAAGTTAGTCACACAGTTGTTAACTGAATCCGGCTTTTCCATTGACTTTGCTTGTCAGAAGGTCGCAAAAGGGGATCACATGAACCCGGGACACTGCAACCATCATAAAGGTGAGCTAGTTGCCAAGTGTCTGGATTTTGATCATGTGACCGTGGAGATGCTGCAACGGTCATAAGTGTGAACAATGGTCATCAGTCACTTTTTCCAGTGCTGTTGTAACTTCAAACGGTCACTAAATGAATGATTGTAAATTGAGGGCTACCTGTAGGCAGGAAGTCCAAGAGCCCTCTGCATTTATACGCCTGCCTATTAATTGCAATAGAATCTTAAACTACATTTTCCTCAATCTCTGCTCTTGATAAGCTTGAGAGGAATATCCATTCAAGTCGTCTCTCGCTTAAAATGACTGCTGTTGTTTTCTGATTCTTTGTAATGGCAGGTGGAAAACCTGGTTTTAAAAAATAAAATATTCCTCCCAATTCCTTTGCCGGCACATCAGAAAGCTGACTTTTTTTTTTTTGTTCAACCCCAGAGCCTGCTGTTGCATTCAAAAACCACCCTGAAAGAAAACTATGATTAACTTCAGGAGCCCTGTACTGGCGTGCCTGTATTTTTAACCCCTTTGGCAAAAAATGGGATTAGATTCCGCCTCCAGCAAGCTTATCAGGAATAGACAGCTTGGTAAAAGAGAATACATTTCGGCGTGGAGATAGCTAGCAAGACAACGTCTCCGGTACAATTTTGCAAAAATGCATCACTAAGGCTGTGGTGGGGGGCTGGGGGGAAACAGACCGTGGTTATGCCTAAGGGCAAAATTGAAATCTTTTCTATTAGAGTGTCACCTAGCTATTACCAAGAGGTGTTCTGCAGGTAACGTGTTCCAGGTTTTTTAATATCTGTAATAGATTTTTTTTTTAACCTACAGGCAGTCCTCAACTTGTGACCACAACTGAGCCCAATTATTTATGTTGCTAAGTGAGAAATTTGTTAAGTGAGGTCTGCCCCATTTTACGACTTTTCTTGTCACGTTTTAATTTTGTTTAAAGTTTAATGAAAAGAATGACGAAGGGGTGACATGATAGCAGTCTTCTGATATCTCAAGGGCTGCCCCAAAGAAGAGGGAGTCAAGCTATCCTCCAAAGCACCTGAAGGCAGGACAAGAAGCGACGGGTGGAAACTCATCAAGGAGAGAAGGAACCTGGAATTAAGGACTTTCCTGGCATTTTCAGGAACAATTAATCAGTGGAACAACTTGCCTCCAGAAGCTGTGAATGCTCCAGCACTGGAGGCTTTTAAGAAGCGATTGGGAAACATTTGTCTGGAATGGTATAACGTCTCCTTCCTAAGCAGAGGGCTGGACTAGATCAGGGGGTCACCAATCTTTTGGAACTTAGGGACCATTAAATTCATAATTTTAAATCCCGTGGACCGCTAATATGATCTGCCTAATGACCGGCTGGGTGGGCGTGGCTAGAGATGGTCATGTGACTGGGTGGGCATGGCCAACTCAATGTCACCGGCCTCTTGCTCACCCTTCCCTTCCCAGCCGCTCCTCGCCTGCCCGCTCGGGACCCCCTTAGGGTCCCCCAACAGGAAGCAGCCATCGCGAGAAAGAGAGTGGGCAAAATAGCTGGCTCCGTTCAAATTGGATCTGACGGAGGAGGAGACTCAGCAGAAGCACCTCACTGAGGACTAGGAGCAGCACAGGCTTTCCAAGCAGAGGGAAGATCTGCAGGAGTTCACAGCGGGCTGAGATGGCCAGCCAGTTCCAGGCCATGATGCAGTCCCACTGGAACGAGGCCCTCCAAGCTCTTCGCCACCAGTTGGTGACCACTGGAACAGGAAGAACTTCCAGGGTCCCTTCCAACTTTTGTTATTCTGGTTTGTTTTTTTTTGTTAAGTGAATCACTGCAATTGTTAAATGAATCACACGGTTGTTAAGTGAATCTGGTTTTCCCCATTGCTTGCCAGAAGGTTGCGAAAGGAGATCACGTGACCCTGCCAACTGTCGTAAAAGTGAGTCAGCTGTCAAGCCTCCGAATGTAAATCACGGGACCACGGGGATGCCACGACAGTTGCAAGGGTGAAAAAAAGACCATACGTCACTTTTTCCAGTGCCATTGTTACGTCGAGCAGTCACTACGCGAACTTTTTATAAGTCAAGGACGACTGTACTGAGCAGTGTCATTGTCTGGAAGGAGACGGAAAGAACTGGGGATAAGCTGTATTGGGATTAATACTTAATCAAGAGGGAAGAAATGGTGGAGGAAGCAAAAGTTGTAAGAACCACGGGAAGAGAGCGACTCTATTATCTTAGGCCCGCAGGCAGTGAGAGCTGGAAAACAGCCAATTAGTGTTCTACATTCAAGAGAGCTAAGATCAAACATCTAACGGGGGGGAAAAAAAGAAGAAGAATTCCACCGATAAAAATCCTGAGGGGGGACAAAAACAGTACAAGGGTGGGTTGAGAAATTCTGGGGTATGGGGGTGGGGGGGGAAATAAGATAGCTCAGTCCCAAACCCAAAACATACCAAAGAGGGAAAAAGAAAACAACAGCAACAACAAGAGGAGAATATTGATGGGATCAGCAAAGAGCTCTCGGAGAAATTGAGAAACAAAAAAGGACAAGGGGTTGGGGGTTTTTTTTTTAGAAAAGAAAAGAAGGGTGTATTTTTTTTGAAAAAAGCAGGGCATGTGAAGATGGGAGCAAGAAAGTTAATGCTCGAAATGATCTGGAGCAATCAATACTAAAAATAATAAATAAAGTGGGGTTTTGGCTATTCACAGAACAAGAGGAAAGCACTGATGATATCACCTAAGAAAGGAAGAGAGGTCTGCAGGAAAACCACCAAGCTTAGAGAGCACCAAGGACCCCAAAGCCTTCCTGCTCCTCCTCCTCCTCCACTCTGCAATCCCCTACTCCCTTCTAGCACTGATGATGTTACCTAGTTGGGTCATGCCGGCAATCAGAAGAAGTAGCACTCTAACCACTGTGCCTCCAAGGCTCATAATACTCCTTCCTCCTCCTATTTTCCCTTATAACAACCTCGTGAAGTGAGTTAGGTTGAGAGGGAAGGAGTGGCCCGGCTGGAAGACACCCAGCCGGCTTTCATGCCTAGGGCGGGACTAGAACTCACCATCTCCTGATGACTGGCTCAAAGTCACCTAGCTGCTGCTAGAACTCGCAGCCTCCTGGTTTCTAAGCCAGGGCCTTAACCACTACCCCAAACTGACTGCAATTTCACCATCATGCAGATGTGCAAAATTCCACTTGAAATTGAAATCCGGAATGCTGCCTGTCTAGGATGTGATGGGCCGGGAGTTGATCTGGAAGGTCAACTCTATGATTCCTCACCTGGCACTGGTATGCTTTGAGAACATCTGACATTCCCAAGGAGATGAAGCCCTCACTGAAGGTGTCCAGGGACTCGGACTGAACCTTCTCGAGGCATGAGAAGAAAACTGCCATGCACAAGGCAGCTGTGACGGCAGCTGGCAAGTCGTCAGCTGGCTTAGTTGCCTTGCCAAGTATCGAAAGCACAACTGGCTGCCAAACGCACATCTGGTGCCAGCAGCCTCTCTCACCCCGCCCATAAAGCAAAATCCAAATGCCAATAACCATGTACGGCAACTGATCACAAATACCGGCTGCTCTTAGAAGTATTTTCCATATATTATTAGCTAGTTGCAATATGGGGA